TTTGTTCAAGAGTAGTTCCCGCTTTTTCTTCTAAGAGGTTCAGTATGGTTGGATTTATGTTGAGGTCTTTGATCCATTTGGGCTTAAGTATTGTGCATGGAAATAGACATGGATCTATCTACTACATGCCAATATCTAGTTATGCAAGCACCATTTGCTGAAGATACTTTTTTCCCCATTGTATACTTTTAGTTTCTTTGTCAAAATCAAGTGTTTGTAGGTGTGTGGGCTAATATCAGGGTTTTTTTATTTGATTCCATTTGTCCACCTGTCTATTTTTGTGCCAATACCAAGCTGTTTTCAGGACTATAGCTCTATAATAGAGCTTGAAGAACCTCTGGGTGTTCTTTTATTGTACAGGGTTGTTTTGGCTATCCTAAGTATTTTGTTTTTCTATATAAAGTTGAGTACTGTTCTTTCAAGGTCTGTGAACAATTGTTCCTGTATTTTGATGGGGATTGCATTGAATCTGTAGATTGCTTTTGGCAAGCTTGCCACTTTTACTATATCAATCCTACCTATCCAAGAGCATGGGAGATCTTTCCATTTTCTGGTATCTTCTTTCATTTCTTTCTTTAAAGACTCAAAGTTCTTGCTATACAGGCCTTTCACTTGTTTGATTAGTGTTATCCCAAGATATTTAATGCTGTTTGGGGCTATTGTAAAGGATGATGTTTCTCTGATTTCTTTCTCAGTACATTTATCATCTGTATATAATAGGGCTATTGATTTTTTTGAGTTACTCTTGTTTCCTGCCACTTTGCTAAAGGTATTTATCAGCTATTGGTGTTCCCATGTAGAGTTTTTCGGGTCACTTATATAAACTATCATATCATCTGCAAATAGTGGAAGTTTGACTTCTTTCCAATTTGTATCCCCTTGATCTCCATTTATTTTCTTATTGCTCTAGGTAGAACTTCAAATACAAAATTGAAGAGATATGGAGAGAGTGGACAGCCTTGTCTTGTTCCTTATTTTTGAGGAATTGTGTTGAGTTTCTCTCCATTTAGTTTGATGTTAGCTGTTGGTTTACTGTATATTGCTTTCATTATGCTCAAGTATATTCCTGTTATCCCTGATCTCTCCAAGACTTTTATCATAGAGGGGTGTTGGATTTTGTCAAAGAATTTTTCATCACTGAGTGAGATGCTCATGTGCTTTTTTTCTCTGCAGTTTGTTTATATAATGAATTACATTGATAGATTTTCATATGTTGAACCATCCCTGCATCCTTGGGATGAAGCCTACTTGATCATGGTGGATGTGTTCTTGGATTTAATTTACTAGTATTTTATTGAGTATTTTTGCATCAACGTTCATGAGGGAAATTGGTCTGTAATTCTTTTTCTTAGTTGTATCTTTGTGTGGCTTGGGTACCAAGGTAATTGTAGCCTCATAAAAAGAGTTTGGCAATGAACTTCCTGCTTCTATTGTGTGGGTCACTTTGAGGAGTATTGGAATTAGGTCCTCTTAGAATTCCTGGTAGAATTCTGCACTGAAGATATCTGGGCCTGGGTTTTTGTTGGTTGGGAGACTTTTGATAACTGCTTCTATTTCATTAGGGATCATAGGACTGTTTAGATTGCTTATCTGTTCTTGATTTAGTTTTGGCAAGTGATATCTATCCAGAAAATTGTCAATTTCCTTTAAATTTTTTAATTTTGTGGAGTACAGGTTTTCAAAATATGACCTGATGATTCTCTGGATTTCCTCAGCGTCTGTTGTTATGTCCCCCTTTTCCTTTCTGACTTTGTTAATTAGCATGCTCTCTCTCTTCCTTTTGGTTAGTTTGGATAAGAGTTTGTCTATCTTGTTGACTTTCTCAAAGGACCAACTCTTTGTTACATTGAATCTTTGTATCGTTTCCCTAGTTTCTACTTTATTGATTTCAGCCCTCAGTTTAATTATTCCTTGGCATCTGCTCCTCTGGGGTGAGTTTGCTTGCTTTTGTTCTAGAGCTTTCGGTTGTGCTGTTAATTCTCTAGTGTGACTATTCTCCAGTTTCATGTGGGCACTTAGTGCTATGAACTTTTCTCTCAGTACTTCTTTCAAAGTGTCTCATAAGTTTGGGTATGTTGTATCTTCCTTCTCATTGAATCCCAGGAAGTCTTTAATTTCTTTTTTTTTATTTCTTCCTTCACAATGGTGCAATTGTGCATTGTTCAATTTCAATGAGTCTGTAGGGTTTCTGAGATTTGTGTGGTTGTTGAATTCTAATTTTAAAGCATGGTGGTCTGATAAGATACAGAGGATTATTACATTTTTTTTGTATCTGTGGAGGTTTGCTATGTTTCCAATAATGTGGTCAATTTTAGAGAAGGTTCCATGTGAAGCTGAGAAGAAGGTATATTATTTTGTATTTGGATGGAATGTTATATAGATGTCTGTTAATCCCAGTTGGGTCATAACTTCTGTCAGTTCTTTCCTTTGTTAAGTTTCTGTCTGGAGGTCCTGTCTAGTGGTGAGAGAGGAGTGTTGAAGACTCCTACTAGAAGTGTGGGAGATTTTATGTGTGATTTGAGCTTTAGTAATATTTCTTTTATGAATGTGGGTGCCTTTGTATTTGGGGCATAGATATTCAGAATTGAGACTTCATCTTGATGGACTTTTCCTGTGATGAATATGAAATGTACATCTGTTTTGATTGATTTTAGTTTGAAGTCTAATTTGTTGGATATTACGATTGCTACACCAGCTTATTTCTTGGGTCGGTTTGATAGGAAAATCTTTTCCCAACCCTTTACTCTGAGGTAACATCTGTCTTTGATGTTGAGATGTGTTTCTTGTATGCAGCAGAAGGGTGGGTTCTGTCTTCATATCCATTCTGTTGGCCTGTGTCTTTTTATAGGCAGGTTGAGACCACTGACATTGAAGGCTATTAATGACCATTGATTGTTGATTTGTGTTTGTTTCTGATTTATTGGTGGTATTATTGTGTGTGTATGCCCCCTTTTTCTTTTGGAGTTTGGTGAAGTGGGATTATCTATTGCCTATGTTTTTGTGAGTGTTGTTATCTTCGTTGGATTGAAGTTTCCCTTCTAGCATTTTCTGTAGGGCTGGATTTGTGGATACATATTGTTAAATATAGTTTTGTCATGGATTATCTTGTTTTCTCCCTCTATGGTAATTGAAAGCTTTTCTGGGTACAGTAGTCTGGGCTAGCATCCTTGTTCCCTTAGCATTTGTAGGACACCTATCCAGGACCTTCTGGCTTTCATAGTTTCCATTGAGAAGTCGGGTATAATTAGGATAGATCTGCCTTTATATGTTATTTGGCTTTTTGCCTTAGCTGCTCTTAATATTTTCTCTTTATTCTGTTGGTTTGATGTTTTGATTATTATGTGGCAAGGTGACTTCTTTTTCTTGTTCAGTCTATTCGGTGTTCTGTAAGTTTCTTGTATTTTCATAGGCATATCCTTCTTTAAGTTAGGGAAGTTTTCCTCTGTGATTTTGTTGAATATGTTTTCTGTACCGTTGAGCTGTATTTCTTCATTTTCTTCTATACCTATTATTCTCAGCTTTGGCCTCTTCATGGTGTCTCATATTTCCTGTATATTTTGTGTTAGGGATTTGTTGGACTTGGGATTTTGTTTGGTCGATGACTGTATATCCTCTAATGAGTCTTCAACACCTGAGATTCTCTCTTCCATCTCTTGTAATCTATTGGTTATATTTATGTCTGTAGTTCTTGATCATTTACCCAGATTTTCTATTTCCAGCATCCGCGCATTCTGTGTTTTCTTTATTGTTTCAATTTCTGTTTTCAAGGCTAGGACTGTTTGAGTTGTTTCCTTCACTTGCTTGTTTTTTTCTTGACTCTCTTTAGATTCATTAAGAGATTTGCTTATTTCTTTAATTTTTTAGTTTGTTTTTTTCTTCTATTTCCTTAAAGGATTTTCTTGTTTCTTCTTTGAGGGTCTCTATCATCTTCATAAAATACTTTTAAGGTCTGTCTCTTCTGCTTTGTCTGTGTTGTGCTTTTCAGGTCTTGTTGGCGTGGGGTCTCTAGATTCCGATGGAGTCATATTGGTCTTTCTATTGCCGAGTGTATTCTTATACTGTCATCTTCCCATCCCTTCTTCAAGTGGGCACAGGTGGGGTCTCTCTGTCTCCAATGGTTTCCCTGTGATATGGGCTAAGGCTTCAGTGTCTGCAACTCTAGATGGTCTGGTTTCTCCTGCTATTCTCCACACTCATTCAGAGCTCGGTGGGTGGAGGGAGAAACAAGAGTGGGGTATGGCAGAAATCTCCTTCCTGAAGCCTGAAGCTGGGCACATTGAAGCCAGGCATGTGGGGTCTGGCAGGACTCAAGTCCTACTTGACTGGGAGGATCCACTCGATGCCAGGAGCAGGTACAGGGAGATCGAGGGAGGGGGTGTTGGGCGGGGTGGGATCCACAGGAGGACCCAAGCTCACCTGAAGCCAGGTGCATTGGTGTGGGGAGAGCTGAGGGTGGGGTCTCCTTTATGTGTTCTTTTTTGACATTGAAAACTACAGCATTATGCAAAGGCTTTACCACACTGATTACATTCATAAGGTTTCTCTACAGTGTAGGTTCTTTTATGTAGTTGGAGACTACTGTTGACATGTCCTTTCATGTAATTGCAAGTGACTGGGGCATGTAAAGGCTTTACCACATGGTTTACATTCCTAGGGTGTAATGTGAGGTTTTCTCTGGCCCAGCTAGGTCCCCCTGCTCTTCTCTGCCCCCAAAGAAACATGCAGACACTATATTTAGTTATAATCTGTTGGCTGGCAACTGGGCCTTCTTATCCTTAAACCATCCTCGTAGCCTTATCTTACCAGAGAAAAGGTCTGGGCCTCTTACTCCCTTGGGGTCTACATTGCATTTGCTCAGCATCTCCACAAAGAAGAGAGAGATTTCCTGCTTGTATCTGCTTATATACTGATTCTACTCTGCTATATCACTTCCTGCCTGGATCATATGGAACATTTCCCAGAATCCTCTTTAACTCCTAGTCCCACCTATCTTGCTTCTCTATTGGACAACAATGCTTTATTCATCAACCAATAAGACAAACACATACACAGAACATTCCTCATCACTAGGGGTTCCTTCCAGTATGGGTTATTTTATGCCTTTGAAGAGTACTGTGATGAGTAAAGACTTTACCGCACTGATTACATTCATAGGGTTTCTCTCCAGTATGGGTTATTTTATGCCTTTGAAGAGTACCATGGCGAGCAAAAGCTTTACCACACCGATCACAATCATAGGGTTTCTCTCCAGTATGGGTTATTTTATGCCTTCGAAGAGTATCATGGCGAGCAAAGGCTTTTCCACACTGATCACATTCATAGGGTTTCTCTCCAGTATGTGTCTCTTCATGCATTTGCAGATTACTACGCTGCCCAAAGGTTTTACCACACTGTTTACATTCATAGGGTTTCTCTCCAGTATGGGTAATTTTATGCCTTCGAAGAGCACTGTGATGAGCAAAGGCTTTACCACACTGATTACATTTATAGGGTTTCTCTCCAGTATGGATTATTCTATGCCTTTGAAGAACACTGTGATAAGCAAAGGCTTTACCACACTGATCACATTCATAGGGTTCCTCTCCAGCATGTGTCCTTTCATGCATTTGCAGACAACTATGACATGCAAAGGCTTTACCACACCGATTACATTCATAGGGTTTCTCTCCAGCATCTGTTGTTTCACGCATTTGCAGATAACCAGGATGTGTAAAGGCTTTACCACACTGATTACATTCATAGGGTTTCTCTCCAGTATGTGTCCTTTCATGCATTTGCAGATGACTGCGTTGTCCAAAGGCTTTACCACACTGATTACATTCATAGGGTTTCTCTCCAGTATGGGTTATTTCATGTCTTCGAAGAGTACTGTGATGAGCAAAAGCTTTACCACACTGATTACAATCATAGGGTTTCTCCCCAGTATGGGTTATTTTATGCCTTTGAAGAGTACTGTGACGAGCAAAGACTTTACCACACAGATTACATTCATAGGATTTTTCTCCAGTATGGGTTATTTTATGCCTTCGAAGAGTACTGTGATGAGCAAAGACTTTACCACACATATTACATTCATAGGTTTTCTCTCCAGTATGTGTCCTTTCATGTCTTTGCAGGTGTCCACATCGTGCAAAGGCTTTACCACACTGATTACATTCATAGGGTTTCTCTCCAGTATGAGTTGTTTCATGCCTTTGAAGATGGGTGTCATGTGTAAAGGCTTTCACACATTGAGTATTCACTGAAGGTTTCTCTGCAGTTTGACTTTTTTCATTCCTGCAAGGATGATTGGCACATGTAAAAGCTTTACCATATTCAATGCATTGTTGAATGTTTATATCTATATGAATTAATTTCATAGTTTGGTCCAATTGTAAAGAAGAATCAGATCTTATAGTTCTATCACTGTGTTTACATTCATGTTGTTCCCCTTCATTTAGGGTTGTTTTGCATCTTTGATGATACCTGTGGTGGCAAGGTACTTTACTACATGCTCACATTTACAGAATCTTTTTTCTATATGAGATTTTTCACATATTTAAAGAGAACTGGAAAAACTCAGAGCTTTACCAACCTTATTGTATTCATAAGTTTTCCTATGATATGTGAGTCATACTACATCTGCTAAATGAACTAGGACAAACAGAAGTGTTCACGCAGTTCTAGTAACTCATAGGGCTTTCTGCAGTATGACTTTGTTGATGTATTAATAATGAAGCTAGAAAACCAATTACTTCTACACTTGAATCAAGTTAAACAAGTATACTCAATGTGGGGACTGACACATATCTTCTAATTGTTCTGAGGGAGACATGTTATATTTTTCCATATCCTATGCTCATATGGTTTGCATTCACAGTGACATATGATATACATAGTAAGGGAAGATAACAAATAAACATTTTCTACTCTGAATTCACATTGTGACTTTCTGTTCTTCATAGACTTGTTGTATAGGGATTAAGGTTTCTCCACAACTGCCCCTTGACTTTTATTTCTAACTACCCCTACACTAAGCTTAGTGCACTCACAACATGGATATTAGTTATACTAGCTTATGGACTATTTGCTTATTAGAAGGTTTTGAAGATTTATTTATCACCTCTTCAATGCATATACCTTTTGTAATATGAGTGGTATGAAATATATGGATTGAAAGTTCTACAGCATAGTTCGTATGCTACTATGATTCAAATTATATCAGTTAAGGCATTGTTTCCTTGTCTTCTTTCTTAAAAGAATGCTATGCAAATGCAATTCACCTACCTGAAATTGAGGTATATTGTTTTGTGAGAATTTAACAATCATCAATGCACTTTAAGTTGTGCTTATTTATACTGTTGCTTTTGTTTAAAACTTTCAGGACACATTACAATTACATCAGAGACACACTTGTGTCATCTTGCACATGAAAATTACCTTGCATTTCTTCTAGAACTTTGATAATATTCTTCAACATGATGGTTCTCCCAATTGTATCCTACAATATAGTATCAGAAATGGATGTTATATTATTGAGATTGTGCAAAATTTAAGTTATTATCTTCAGTGAACCTTAGAACCATGCCTAATTTATTCACCTCATTTTTCTTCTTTCTCAATAATATTACAGAAGAGCATCAATAACTAAGGAATAGATGCCACTTATTTTAAAATGTGAAGGATAATTCAGTCTTACCTATAGCAGTGAGATTCCTGTAGGTCTCTAGCATCACATCTTTATAGAGTTTCTTCTGAGAGGGATCCAGTAAAGTCCACTCTTCCCAAGTGAAGTCGATACACACATCATCATAGGTCACTGCATTCTAAAATATCCCATACATGTGTACAACAGAAAACATGATACTGACAACATTGTAAATGTATAATTCACTTCTTTGACAGTATAGTCATATAATTCTGGTGCTCGCCACACTTATTTGATGACATAGACATTATAATGCAATCACCAAATCAATTTAGAAGGAAACTGTATAGGAGGTTCATCTCTGTCATTTCCGTACCCTTTTGATCGAATATCACCTTGGAAGAGATTAACTACCAAAAAGAAAAATAAGACGGACAAACTGCGTGTATTGGCTCACACCTTTAACCCCAGGACTCAGAAAGCAGAGGCAGCTGTATTTACTACTGAGTAAAATGTCAGACTAGTCTATGCAAGCAGGTCCAGGACAACCAGAAGAATATATTGAGACCCTGTTTTCTATGCAAAAAATTGGTCAAACAAATAAAAAAGGATAGAAAGCACTCAGAGGTTATATATTGAAATTCCTACAAAGAATTATATATTCATTCCAGTTCTATATTCATTTTTCAGAAACCTGAAGTGCCCTAATTTAAATTGTAACATCAGCAACAGAGAAACTGCAGGCCTTAGAACAACTGGTACAGGAGCAGTTGTTCTTGGAATTCTCCTGTATTTGTTATTAAAAAGAAATCTGGAAAATGGAGAGTGGTAACACATCTAAGACCTGTTAATAAGGTGATTCAGCCAATGAGCTTTCTACAGCCTGGAACTCCTTTGCATTCTTTATTACCTAAATGATAGCTTCATATAGTTATTGATTTCAAAGATTGTTTTTTCACTATACCTTTACAAGAAAAAGACAGAAAAATTTGACCTCATGGTGCCAATTTATAATAATTCTAAGCAAGTTAAGAGATATAATTGGAAGATTCTCCCATAGGGAATGTTAAATAGCCTCACCCTGTGCCAATATTTTGTGCATCGGCCATTGGAAATGATACATAAGCAATTTCCTCAATCTATAGTTTACCATCAGATGGATGACATTGTACTATCTCATTCAAATGTAGGTGTTCTCGAAAGAATGTTTGAAGAAGTTTTAAAAAGTTTGCCTGTGGGGATTACAAATTTCTCCTGAAAAAAAAAATACAAAGAGGAGCTTCTATCAATTACTTAGGATATAAAATAGTTCCACAAAAAATTAGACTGCAAAAGCTGCAAATTAGGAGAAATCAATTGCTGACTCTTAATGACTGTCAAAGATGGCTAGGAGACATTTCCTATCTTTGGCCCATTATTGGGGTACACTGTGATGAACTGGGTTATTTTCTCAAAGCCTTAGACAATGAAAAGGACTTAAATAGTCCCAGGAAATCACAAGCGGAAACTGAGAGAGAATTGGCTTTGGTGTATAAGAAACTACAGGATGTACATGTGAGTCCAAAGCTTGATTACACTTTGGTTATGTTAGCTTCTAAGCATTTTCCTACAGTAATATTAATGCAGAGGGAAGATATTATCTTAGAATGGATCTTTTATCACATAAACAGAGTAAAAAATTTAAAACTTATGTGGAAAAGGTCTCTGAGTTGATTCTAAAAGGAAAATTATGACCTCATCAATTAGCAGGCACAGACACAGCAGAAATGGTAATATCTTTTACTAATGATGAAACTGACAAATTATGGGCAGAAAGTGAACCTTGGCAAAGAGCTTGCAGTATTTTTTGGGGAGAGATTAACCAAAAGCAAGATGATTAAATTTATAAAGCAAACTAACTGGATCTTTCCTCACATTGTATGGGGAACATCAATATCTGGAGCCTCTACATTCTACACTAATAATCGGAAAACTTAAATAAAGTGGCTCAAGCCCTTATGATTCTGTCCAAAAGTTAGAATTATGTGCCATTCTCATGATATTAATGGATTTTACAGAACTTCTCAACATAGTTACTGATTTGTAATATGCAGAAAGAGTTGTTTTGCATATTGTAACTGCTGAATTTATATCAGATGATACAGAGTTTACTGTATTATTTATTCTTATTTATTCAGTTACAAGACATAATCAGGAATACACACACACACACACACACACACACACACACACACAACCTGATCCCATATGGATCTGTCAGGCCATCTAGCACAAGGCAATGATGAGAAATTGATCAAGTATTGATAGGAAATGTGCTGGAGGCCTCAGAATTTTATTTTAAAAATATCATTTCAGTAGCAAATGTTTGAGAAATGATTTTTCCATCACTTGGAAACAAACCAAGGAAATTATAAGGAAATGTCCTACTTGTTCATTGTATAACCAAATTCAACTACCTTCAGGAAGTAACCCAAAGTGTACTTAAGGGAATGAAATATGGATGTGTCCCAATTTGGAAAATTTGGAAAATTAAAATATATACACCACACCATTGATACCTATTCAGTTTTTAATGGGCTACAAGTTTGAATTCAGGAAAGGCTGATTCTGTAGTCATATATTCATTAGAAGTTATGGCCATCATGGGAATACCTGTAAAAATTAACATGGACAATGCCCACCATATGTAAAATGGAACAGGATTTTTGCTTATTACAATATAAAGTATGTTATAGGTATACCACACAATCCTATAGGGCAAGTGGTTATAGGTAGATTAAATTGAACTCTAAAGAATATTCCAAATAAACAGAAAGGGGTAATAAAGAACCCCCAGAAACAGAATACATAATGTTTTATTAACTTTGAATTTTCTAAATACTAAAGAGAAAGGAATGCTAGCTGTAGAGAGACATTGGATAATAGAAAAAAACTATGGAATTAAATTAGCCTATGTACTTTAAAGATGTGTTGACCTCAGAATGGAGACCAGGATGTGTTACATTAGGGAAGGTGCTTTGCTTGTGTTTTCACAGGTGAAGAAAAGCTATGCATACCATCACCATGGATGAAGATTAGATTTGAAAAAGAGATATCCCTTATTAAAAGAGGTGATTGTTCATCAAACAGCATGGCCGCTCAATCTAAACTAACTTTAAAAATAACAAATGCTTTTCATTTATGTCAGACATAACTTGCCATTAGGGAGACTCCACAAATTTAGGGTAGGACAAGGGTTTTGCTTTTCTTCTTTCAGAAGAATGAAGGCATCAAGGCAAGGAATCTGAGGACCACTGTGGGAACACCAGACCTTGAGCAGAGACCCACTTCCCCTTCTGCCTGGGAGTAGGCAGCTGTAAGAACATGTTTACTAAAAACAATACAATGCCTGGGGGCATTAAGTTCCTGGAAAAGGCCTGCCCGCAGAAACCACCCTGAGCTCGACCTTGTCCAAAGACTAACTGCCTCTTCTGCCACGCCCAGATCAGTTTCTGGGGGGAGAGCAGAACCAGCCAGGGGAGAAGAGAGAGCAGAAGCTTCTCTGGTGGGAGCCTTTCTTAGGAAGTTTTCTTGAACCTTTTTGGAGCCTGCTTAAAGTTTTCTTTACATCGTTGAACGAGTCTCTGTGTTGTCAATCCCCGACACCCTCCGCACGTTCTCGGACACAGGCCGCGCAGCAGACGCGACAATTGGAGGTCCTACCGAGATCATGAAAGCGAGGTACGTGGACTGGGTCGTCCCTTTTGCCAGCCAGGGACAGATGGAGGAAAATAGGAAAAGAAACAATGGGAAATAGTCCCTGGAAGTTTAAATTACAGTATCCCGTAAAAAAGTTGCTTGAAGAACAGGGGACTACAACCATGGCAGGCTTTTTAAAATGGATTGAACGAGGGAGCCCATGGTTCATTACTGGGGAAGGCTTAAATGTCCCAGATTGGGAGGATGTTTGCTATGATATTCAGAGAGCCGGGTGTTGGCGGCATACGCCTTTAATCCCAACACTCAGGAGGCAGAGATAGGAAGGAATGAGGCCATCCTGGTCTATAGAGCAAGTTCCAGGACAGCCTCCAAAAGGATAGAGAGAAACCCAGTCTCAAAAAAAAAAAAAAGAAATGAAAAAGAAAAAGGGTAAAATAAGAAATATAAAAAATCTCCAGTCTTTCGCCTGATCCACTGAGGTCAGGAAAGTAAAGGGGAACTGAGAGATCTAAAAGGCTAGCCAGTAAGGCTATGTGGATGTGTTAAAAAGGGGTACCAAGATAGGGGTACCGGAGTAAATCTCCAGGCCTTCGCCTGACAAAGGTCAGGAAAGTAAGGGGACCCTGAGAGATGGCCCTCAGTTGGAGGGGGGGGATTGGATTAAATCTCTAGGCCTTAGCCTGACACTAAGGGGAACCCAGAGATTGCCCTCAATTGGAGGGTGGATTGTGTAAATCTTAAGGCTTTTTGCATGAGGGAATATCCTGGGTCGAAGAGTGGATTGAAAATGGGTGAATAGCCGGGCGTTGGCAGCACGCGCCTTTAATCCCAGTACTCGGGAGACACAGGCAGGCAGATCTCTTGAGTTCAAGGCCAGCCTGGTTTACAGAGCAAGTTCCAAGACATCCTCCAAATAATACAGAAAAAAAATTGGTAACAAGCTGGGCAATGGTGGCACACGCCTTTAATCCCAGCACTTGGGGAGGCAGAGGCAGGCGTATCTCTGTGAGTTCGAGGCCAGGCTGGACTGACAGCCTCAAACAATACAGAGAAACCCTGACTTAAAAAAAAATGGGAAAAAAATTTGTAACAGTAAAAAGGTACTGGTATTAAGTAAAGAAAAAGAAAAAGACAAAGGTATATAGAATGGAAAATTTTGTTTACCTTTAAGTTCTATTTTGTGAGTCATCTCTAAAAACTTATGGCCAAAAGCTTGGCCTCTCCACCTCACATCTACAGAGTTACAAGGAGTAGGTACAGCTGTACCCCATGACTGTAGCTCAAATGGAGGAATGATAGAGAACATACAGGACTTTTTAACCTCTTAGTTCAAGGATTGGCTGGAGTTGTTCTTTTACATAGATTTCAATTAAGGAAGCTTCATTGCAACAGACTAATCATGACCTAGGGAAAAAGGATGACTGAAAGATGCATGTATGTTCTGAATGTATGGTGTGGCCACACCGGTATGTATGAAAT